ATTATGAGTTTCGACCCCGGTCAAGGTGATGTTAATTTTGTTAACGTGCAACGGGGATTTGTTGGGGTATCGCAGATGTAATGAACCGGATACCGAGGAAGGGCCAATGCCGAGGTATCCCACCTGAAAAGATTTTGAATCCTTCGTGGGATACGAGAAAAAAATCTTCTTGTTGTATTTCAGATAGCATTTTTTATCGGGAAGACCTGCGAAATTGTTGTCCATGTTCTCAATTGATTTTAAAATTTGTACAGAGGAAATTCTTGACTATTTATCTTCTGTTTAATTCCCTTACGTAAACAGGCAGTGCTTGATGTGTATTTTATTGTATTTATGTGGAGTGAACACGGCCCTTCCATATGTGGGCATTGTCCAAACACACATTACCCCAACTCTTCCAAAAATAAAAGTTATTCATCAAAGTGAACAATCTTTTTTTTTTTTTCAAGGCCCGGGACACTGAATGCCCCATGATATAAATATTGCATAATATTTGGTGGATGATTTTTCGAAAGCGGTCCAGAAAATCTCACATTGTACACATTAGTGGTCCAACACCGGTTCCGGTGAACCTTAGACTAGCACGACCGTTAAAATCTTTTACCTTACCCATGCAGTGCGTTTGTGATGTAGCACGAGTTGCGAGAATGAACAATGTTCAAAGATAATTAATAAACAATGTTCATTTGTTCACATCAAATGCGGTCGTAAGAAAAAATTTGCGTACAGGCTGACAATAATTGCTTGAATTCTTTATTGGTGTAACATTTTTTTTTTTTTTTTTTTTTTTCTTCTTGGCAACGATATGTATAAACTATGATTCACAATGTATTCTTGATATCGAGGCGACCGCTTGTAGAATTTACGAAGGAATTGACCAGAACCAATTACGGCATGCACTTGGCAGCCCACTGACTCTAATTATTAAAATTAGCGGAAAGCAATTGTGTTGTTTATTAAGATGAGAATAATATGTACACTTGTATTTTTTAAATTACAAATTCGATTTACAGTTGTTATGTAACCTAAATTCTAAACCCAAAAGAAATCTAGAGAACTAATTGCATTGATCGTTATCTTGATACTTGACATTCATGAAGATTCTAAATTTTAATATTTTGTTTCAAATTTCTCGCTCTTATTTCACACGAAACGAATTAGTATCTCGTAATCAAAATTTGTAAATATTCTCGACTACCAAGAATTGTAGATGCCCTGATCTATGTAATTCAAATCTCGCGTATCTACATCCACTTGAGCAAGCTTTCCGAAATCCATATACTTGGTGTAGCAAAAATCCGGAATATCTGCTATCTCTGGAACGTTAAGACTTGAAAGGAAGAATCGACCTTGATTATAGTCTAGTGACGGCTCTTCGTTGAAGACATGCGTCATCCCTTGATCTTCAAATCTCGTATAGCAATAATTTTCGGTTTCTCGTTCAATGTCCTTGGTGATCTCTAGATATGCGAACTCCACATCGCACATGTTAACACAATATGATGGTGGTTCATAAACCCAATCTTTCATAGGTGTTACAGGTTTAGGTCGGTAATTTGTCTCGGGCATTTTAGACAATAAATCCATAATCACTTTATAGGTTTTCATTGAGACTTTCGTAACGTCCCGGATTTTCTTACTGCTTTTGACAAATTTGTTGCTTTTTGCGCTGGGTTTTATTTTGCTGAAATCTCGACATTCGCGGTAGGTCCTGCTGAAATTGCATATGAATCCATTATTATCCGAAGAAACTTGTGATATCTGTTCATTCTTGCTATTGTCCATGGAAATGTGCTGAAGATCGATTCCCGAATTCAAGCTATTAATTGGAAGATTTAATGTTAATTCGCAGATGGAATTCAAATCGGATCTGGTATTGAGAAATTGTTCGTTTTCTTGGAGGCCAAGTTGCTCGTCATCGAGAGTTGCCGATGTTGACCGCATCTCTGGAGTTGGTATCATTAAACTGGTGCATGATGAATCGCCAAGTGTTGTGTCATACTGCGTAGATAAAAATTGCAGATCAATAGGACTTGCTCCAGATGGCTCGTCGTCACACGTAGATTCGATTAAATTGGCGTCAGGCGGGTTCCCATGAGTTAAATCAAGTAAAACCATCGAATCCGCATTGAGTGTTAAATCTGAAAAATCAGAATCTATCTGATCACGAGGAATTAGATTAAATGATGAATTCCCTTGTTCAAAATTAACGGATCCAGAACTGGATCGTCCGTCGTTCAGGATTAAAGCTGCTGCAGTCTCCGTAAAAAATTGTAATGCATCAGGTGGAACGGACTGAGCTATCATCAATTCAGAGGTATCCAAGTTTGGTTGACTACCGTGAGGGTTTTGGTCGGAGATCGATTGTGTAAGTAAATTAGCGTCATTAAAAATGGATGTTAAATAAGACGATATGGAACCACTGGTAGAAACGAATTGTTGATTGTTCTCGGTTTGCAACATTGATTCATTTTGTTCATCTTGTGAAACAAGTTTCGCTGGGCTTGAAACCAAATTTAAGGCCTGTGAAGGCCATACTATCGGATCGAAGGCCGATTGTTCTCCATGTGATTGCTGTACATTCCGAGAACTCGGTATAGTCGTTTCGTTGTAAAGATCTGCA